TAAATGTTTATCATCGCGCAGCCGTTCGAGTCGTTTTGTACTGGACACCTGACAGTAATGACAGTATTTTACTGTCCTAAATTCAAGTTGTAACATTTTTGCTCAAAGTTTATTCAAGTTATTCGATTTTACAACTCAAGCGTCTTATATCGATTGTATCCACGTTAAGTACTATGCACTAATTAATGCTGAAGTATATAGAGCGAGATATCGTAAATCGACCGGAGGAAACGGAGTTTGTATAGAAACCGCCTAGCTGTAATCATTCTTATCACTACATTCGCTTAAAATTAAACCTTGTATAAATAGTCTTAAAAATAACCGTCTTAAATACGCCTCATTTGTATTTACGGCGTTCATAGATTTGTGTAGCAAAAATAATTTAACGAACATTTTAATGAATGAAAAATAAATTGTTTTGGAACAAAAAACGTACTGATAACTGCAGTATTTATGTAAGTCCTATTACTATAAGTTCTACACTACAAGCCTTTCTGATAAATTCAAGTTTGATTTTTTCAATAACGCATTCTATTTTTTCATAAATTTGTTGCACGTAGATACCCTAGTTCTGAGTATGTGTTGAACGTTAAGTGGTTTGACAATTTCGTTGGTATATGCATACCGGTTGAATACACTACGGTGTGAAGTGGTATTAAAAGATTAATAAAAAATGACATAACGTGCTGAGTAAATAGCGTAACAACTGTTCAATGTAATTAAATCTCGATAGAAAAATAAAGGAATCTCAAGGGGCTATACTGCTTTGAAATTCTACAACGTGATATATTTTTTTAAATTATATTTTGCTATTTTTTTTTTGGAAGTAAATATATAAATGTTAACTGAATTAAATATAATATTACTAAGGTTGAAAAATTTTTTTTAAAAAAAAAAATGTATGCTATGTAGATATAAGTAAATTATTTACTTAATTAATATCCCTATAAAACCTAATTAAGATTTTATTAAAAGTAAAAGAAAAAGTTAATAGAATTTGAGTCGGTATATAATATATTTTTTCACGCTCAATATTCTCGTTTATTCGGAATTGTTATTCTTCACACAAATAAAGTAGTTTGTCATTTTTTTCCATTCACTTTTTGATTGCCTTTTTCTCGGTCCATCATCCTACGCCAAATTGTTTTTCTTTTTTTATTTATTCTTACCTCTCTCGTATCAACAATTTCTCAACGCACGGACCTTAATCAATTTTCATTTTATTTTTATACTCACTATTATTATTATTATTATTATTATTGTCACATTTTATTATGAATGAATTTGTTTTAATATAAAGCATCTCAATTGATTATGATTATTTTATGGAAATAATTCTGAGAATATTTTATTTTTGTAAACATAGTAATTTTATGCTTATACTCAGTCTACAATTTAAATCCGTTTTGCGAATGTTGATTAATTCATTTTTTTTGTATCGTGTATGACATTATACAACGCATTATATTCTGTTATGCTTTAGTTTTCATTTTACGATGTTACGTGTTTTTTATTTTTATTTTTATTTTTTTCTACTCATACAGACAATCTCGAAAAAACCGTTTTCTCTTCCGATTGATCTTTGGTACTTTGACTTGTTCCACGATTCAAACTCTATAAAAACATCAAGTGATTCATTTTCAAGATTTATTCGTTAAATGTATTGAATTGAAATAAGTTAACAAGTCGGAAAACGTGAAACATTATTGCTACATACGCATTATTTTAAAATGCGAGTGCTAACGATCAACTAAAATATTTTAACTTATTAAGAAACCGTAAGCAAAGCATATGGAAACATTGTTTATTTTTCGTATGAGTAGTATGGTAGTGTGTCTCAGCAATTTGAAGCTCACGCAGTTCGAGACGCAAACGGGAGTTTTGCTAAGTTTGGCGTGCGAAAGATGACGACGATCGATTCCATTTCGCTGTCCTTTTTAACGGAGAAGATAGTATTATTGAAAATGAAACTGTCAGCTACAATTACCAATACGATTTGATGGGACGTGATTCGGAAAAATAATCGGAGGTTCTTTAGTTCAATAATAGAAATCGAGGGACGTTAAATAGCGTCGACAAGGGCTTAGAAACGATTGATGTACAACTTTTTATTGCTTCGTATTTTACAAGGAAAAAAGTCACCGAACCACTTTTCGAATTCGACAATTGCAATATCTACTCGTTTGATTGCGGTTATGTTATATTTAGTGTCGTCGTTTTGTCACCATCAATATTTATTCATTTAGATCTAATCAAACTAACCGTTTGATAAATACTTTTATTTATGTAAATTTTTGTATGATACAAATTATGTGTAAATACAATCATTACTTTAGCTAATAATTGATTATTTTTAATAACATTTCTTTTATATCGTTGAATTTACCTATTGTTTTTTACAAATTCCAATATTAAATGTTTCGCTAATTCATTGTCAAGCGTACACTTTTAACATTTCGAATGAATTTTAAATTTGAGCATACAATCACAGTTTTTATGATTTTGTTTTGAATTTAATTTGTATAACATTTATTTATATTATACACTCTTAAAATGATTTAACTTTTATAAATGTTAATCAATTTTAGATTTAAAATAAGCTTGCTACTTAGTGTATATTTTAAGATTTGAGATTGATGTGTTGCGAAAAATATTAAATGAAGTTAATATTGTTAACTATATTACCATATTCATCACACTTAAAATCATAAAATACACTATGATTTTCATCTATTTTAATTATTTTTCTTAACATTTACTTGACAGAAAAAAATACAGATTTCCGTATACGTTTTAACAATATATTTTAGATGATCTTAAATTACTGCAGTTAATTATTTCATAACGAATGTAAGTACGATTTTGATACAATTTTGATTTTCAGTAAGCTTCTTAGATGGTACTTATTTGTAACCACTGTTGTAATAAAATTTATAGTATTTGTAGATTAAAATAACACTTCACGACGGAGTTTGTGTAGTTTACTAAATGTACTTATATTTAATTAACTGTATTAATATTATTATTTTGATTGTAATACGTCAATAAACCCTTTTACTTCGGTAATTCTTCTAATTATTTCATATTTACTCATATATAAAATACGTTTTAAACCATTGATTTACAGTATCTATGGTTACTGAAAAGGGGCGTGCAATAAATAATTAAATTAATTAATTTAATGTGCCTCAAGTTTAGACCATATTTAGAAAATCTATATCGATGAGACAGAAAGAATTGTTTGTAATTTTTGTTTTGATAATTCACAGAGTACTTTTTATAATTTTTCGAATTTTACTTTCTAAAATTATTTATTTGAAGAGACATACTCATAAGTATTAGTGTATTATTTTACTCTTGGATAATATGTAACTAATCTTGTAAGCACTTATAACTTTACATTTTAAAATAATAATTTTCAGAAATTTAACATTTTAAATTTTTATATTAGTTTTCTGTTAAAGAATATTTTAATGAAAATTATTTAACATTAATAAATATATTATATAGAATGTTGAACTATTAGCATAATACTTATAGATATTTGATGCCATTTTAATTAGAAAAAGTAAATTGTAATAGTTCTTTTAATTTTAAATTTGATTTTAAATTCCCATTAGGAAAATAAACAATTATACGTAACCAATAGTATTTCTAAGTGATAAAATATAATGTATATTAACAGTCACAAAAAAAAAAATATCTTTTCTTTTAAGCGATAAAAAAAATAATATACATGATTAATAATTACTAAGTTTAACATAGCGAAATAAAATAATCATCCTATATGGGATTGGATGTTCTTAGAAAAATTGATTTGCTAAAGATATTTTTAACTTAATAAGGCATTCATCATTATGTCATACGGACACAATTATTGGTTATAACATTATTGTTGTAACATGGTTTTTTATGCACCAATGTTAGTACATTGGAAATGCATTTTATTCCCACACAGAAAGTTTGAAAAATTGGTCACCGGTAGAGATCTTGAAGGGTTATTAATGAGGCTGTAAGGTCCTTTGGCCACACCTCAGTAGCCGTAGGACCTTTTTGAGTTGACATTGTTAAAAATACCCTTTTATTTACTTTCGAACGTTTTAGGGTCATAGTGGATGCCATTTTCTGCTGTGCATGTCGGCAACAACTGATGAAACCGCTGTAGATCTTCTAACCGGTCAACAATCCGTTTGTAAACACTTTGATCGTCATCTAAAGTTTCGAAGTAACAATACACTTTGTTTAAAATGTAACAAGATGTTCTTTCGGACAAATAGTACACACTAATGGATGTAATGGATACATTATAATATAGGTGTTTAGAGAGTACAATATACATAAATGTACGTATATAATATATGTATATATATGAGCGTGTGTATTTTTATTACGTGTAATAAATATCAGTTCTTTATTGTTATATTCTTAAATTTTTTTTTCTTTATGGTAGTCATAAGTATAACACAATAATAGCCTGTATTACATACATGTACATAATTATAATGAAACTCACTCGGCAAAAATGCAACCAAACGTTCACGCAGCGATTGAAATAGACTCATATGAATATTTTTCTATTCAAAAACAAACTAAAAAAACAATTAATGTATACAACTCAAATCGAAATCACTTTTTATCTAATATAAAAACATATTTATATATATATATATATATATATATTAATATTCGTGTATATATAAATATACATACCTATTTGTCACTATATAATAGTCAATGTTATTGTACACAATATTGATTTAATATAGGTAATAAATAATAATAGCCAATTAACAATTGCTATAACAATAATTACAATTTTTTTTTTCATATACTTATACTTATATAAATATGATTTCTTTTTATGTAGGTACATGTTAATAATCAAATTGACATTATGGCTTTTGTACAAATTGCGCTCAGTTAATTAAATTTGAGCTTATCATTTTTATTTAAATTTAATTTCCAAATGACTCACATATGTGTATATATATGTGTATGTACATATATACATACATACATACATACATACGGACATATATATTTATATATAATATATTGTTTGATAAGTGTTAGAAATATACAGTGGAAATAATATGTTCGATCAATTGAACATTTTATTGATATGAAATATAAGATTTCATTAAACTCCTATAGTTTTTTTTTCTACGGTCCGGTGGCTTCCTTAAATCCTTTGATCAATGTCTGTATGATGAGTTTAATGGTGATTTTATAAATCGTTTCGATGTTGTCTGTAAATCGATCACCTAAAGTAGTTTTTACTGCTTCCAAAAATGGCACTTCAATTTTCTAAAAAAAAAAAATATTACGGTTTTAGAATTAATGTTAATCTGTAAACATGCGTGTCAGATTACCAGATTTTAAATTTATATTTAAAACAATAAACTACGATTTAATATATAATTGAGAAATAATGTAGTATCTTTTATAAGTTTATGTGTAGAAACCTACTAGTAAATACATTAAACATTTTATTTTTTGTACACATAGTATTTATTTTTTGATACCTATTTTTTTATTTTAGTCTTGGCTAGCATGAATGTATATTAAATACTTCTATTTGGATATTTTTCATTACTGGTTAGTATGAACATAACTTAATGCGTCTTAATAGTAGCAATCATAGCTATGTACTGGTAACTAACGACAAATGGACGGACGGACACAACGCTAATATAAGGTGTTCTAAGCTAATGTTTAGAAATATAAATTATGACTGGTACACATAGTATATGCAATACATTTTATTGTTTTATAATATGTAACTTTTGAATAGAAAAAAAAAGTTAAAATCAATGAATTATTGGATAATTGAATAATATTGAAAATATTTAGTGAAGTGATTATCAAATTTATTTTATCCTACGATTGAAAACAAACATATAATTTATTTGGTAGGAATACATAATTTATTCAAGTGTTTGATTATTTATAAATGCATATTTAATTATTTCATGTAATACTTAGATTTAAATTTAAATACAATTTTTTATTTTGAAATTTGCAACCATTAACAAATAGAAAAATTCCTTAAATATATTTAGATACTTTTTTCAATAATGTCTGTATAATAAATATTGACCTTTTTATAATGAACTCTACACATGTGCAACTATTCATGATAATTTTATTAAAATGGTCGAATCAAATAACAATGTATAATATAAAACAAAACTATAAATTAAAAGTAAAAAAAAAATAATCAAATAAAAATCTAGTCACAAATGCTATAAATATCTTTACACCGCTAGTACTATAATAATAAAGGACTTTATTTTAAGTTACACAATATTATCTGCGTTATACAATATCATAGAATAGTTTTAATTATTGAAATGGATACATACATACGCACGTGCTCACAATTATTATTCCCGTGGATTCCCTTTTAATAGCTCAACATTTCAAAAACGCGATTATCTAGCGTTTGTTAGCCGAGTTATTTTTCATCATCAATCACATGTCAGCAGCTATCAACTCAGAATCAGTTGATTGCGTGTCAATATATTTTCTGTGTCAGAGTTACAAGTTAGATTTTTCCCGATTTATTATAAAACATAAGTTATTTGAAAACAAACGGACCTTCGTGTACGGAATGTAATAATCAAATATCTAATACTATTATTAAGTTATTTTGATGTAATGTACGTCATGAGAGAGAACATAAAAGTAACAGAAATTAATTACGCTTTGAGTTTGCGGTAAATTAATCTCTAATCACATTGTAGCTGATGTACGTGTAATGTATCTTGAAAGATAATTAATGCGATACGAGTATGTCTTTTTGTACGAAATAAAAAAAATTAAAAAAAAGATTGCCTGCTTTCTCGGTTTAAACATGTACAATGAATCAAATACGCGTGATTGAGGAAGGGAGAAAACGTTTTTGTTGAACCGCATTTAATTATAGGTGTTTAAAGTTTATGTGAACTTTCAAAACCAGAAACATTCGACTAGGTATACACACCAGAGTTATGACATGTATTACACACTCACGTATAATATAGGGGTGTACACGTGCGTTCGACTATTTATTATTCGTATGATGAATGACGTCATTAACGATTCAAATGTTGAGGCTTAAGTACATGCATGGAATAATAATTATCAAGAATTTATCAATTTTTTGATTTTTACAGCCATGTGCATGATACACTGCATGCACGTTGACCGCACTTGAACCTCTTCTTCTCCTTTCCTCTCGTTTCTGTAATTTTAGTACTTTTGCCTAACAATAATGTGTTGGATCTTTCCAGTTGACTGTTCACGAACAACACCATGTTGAATTCCACTTCGACGACTCTATAAAATACGTCTATTACGAAGCACCGACTACGTTCGGAATACGGTAATGTATATATATATATATATTTATATTTATTATACATCCCCCGTACCAAACGGTTATCGCGTTCGAAACTACAAAAAACGCCGTTTCGTTTAATTTGTTAAGAACGTACGAAAACGACGAAACAGATCATCGGTATCACAGTGATCAGTGGAAAACAACTATAGTGATGAGCAACTTTACATGTGCAAGACGATAAAAAATCAAAATCATAAATGCCCAATATGCAACTGCTTTCGTGTCCCGTTTCGTTTAAAATTCATAATATTAAAGATTTGCTGTTTTTGAATTCTGAGTGAAGCTATAGGGATTTATTGTTTTTTTTCTTTCTTTACATTTAAACCATTCTAAAATCATGTCTTGTGAATTGAAGTTTATTAATTCAAAAGTTTTTTTTTTTTTTTTTTGTCAATCCGATCCGGTTATTAACAGCGTTATCATGGCTAAACATCGTGTCAAATCGAACTCTATAATTGAAGTAAATATTGGCCGCGTTCTGTGTAGAAGTACGTGCTATAATTATTTTATATTCAAATACAGTATATAAACATTAGGCTCCGAGCAGAGCATATTATATTCGTTGTAATACACGTTGTCATATTCGTCGTTTCACGCCCGACCCCGGTTCAAGCGGGGTTCAAGTGATTGACCAGGAAATTACATTCGATTTGTTTAACGTATATATAAATACTTTATACACATGCGTGTAAAACTAACACTGTATACGAACTATTAAAAAACATATTACGCGTAACTGTACCAATAAATCACAGTGCTTGGTTAATTGCTTCACGTCGAAGACCGGCCAAAAACAATAGAACTATTGACGTGTGCCCATAAAACGATTCCAAAATTGCCGCACATATATATTTGTTACCCCAAACACACACACACGCATGCACGTACGCACGCACGCACTCATACGCACGCACGCATACTCGTATGCCTACGATTACGACAAGTACATCAATCTTTCTCACGTTGCGACATCGTTTCCGAGTTAAAACGTATTATTCGGTGTCGTTCGTGGAGTATATTTGAAACGGGGTCAACGAGAAGCTATTCGTCCTATTTTTTTTTTTTTGTAAAGCGTTTCAAGTACTGCGCACTTAAGCAAACATGTATATTACGAGTCTTTAGTCTACTATACTGATTTATTAATCGACTTTTCTAATATTGTTGACGAAACGCAATAGTTTGTATATCTTAAAAGACGTATATTTAATTTTATTGCGGGATTTAATTTTTGAATGTTGTTATTTGTCCTCAACTTTTGAAAATAAACCAACAACTATTGACCATAATTAGAGCGCGGATTTTTATGTAATTACATAATTTTATTGAATGTGAATTTCTTAATTTCGATTAAAAATAAGCACGTTTCAGAACACCTTGAATAATATAAGACCTTTTTTATTTTACATATTTTCACATATTTCGATGTAAATACTTATTTTTAAATATTTCATCAATATTTACATATTTTTTAAATATTTCATATTTTCATAACATTTCAATACAGTTTTTATTTAATTTACAATTATTATATTGGAACTAAATGAAAGAAGATATTTCAAATCTTGACTCAGATACTACAATCGCTATTACTTTTAATATTGTGTAAAATAATATCTTGCAAAATAATTTAGCATATATTTCCACAATTTTTTTTTTTTTTTTGGGGGGTAAAATAATAAAAAATTAGAAAAATTAAATTTTACAATAATTGAGAGTCTCACGATAGTGGAAAGTGCAGAAATTCAATGAAATTCAATTCAAGGAGAATCCGGAGTTACAATAAAAATTGATTAAACTACGTACTGGTATTGACGGACATCATTTCTTCGTTAGGATATTGTACCATATTTTACGGTAAGTTTATATGAATTTAAATAGAATATTATATTTATGAAAACTGTATCAGTATTAAAATAATATAATTGATAAAATAAGTACAAAACAACATTTTCCCGTCATAAATACTACATGAATACTATATCATATCGTATAAAAGATAGCATTTGTACAAACATTTTTTTTAAAAAATGTAATAATAGTTAGATCATTATTAGACTATTATTACACCCGATCATTATTCGCATTAACAGAATATTTGAAAAAGAGTACTTAACGGTACAAAAATAAGTTTAGTTCGGTTTTAAATGTTTTACAACACATAAAATACGTATTAAATATATTATACACTCGTGAATTAATTTTGTAAGCTCATTACGTGGAAAGATTTCTTGGGAGAGCCAACTTGTAATACCTATGTCCCAATCCAAAACATTGTTACGGTCTACAGTTATTTTAACGTATAGTAGATTTCGTATTTGTAATCGTATTTCATTAATTATTACTCCGAGAATAACTTCGTATATTATAAATAATAACAATCGTTTGCAAAATATATATTTTTATTATTTGTAATCACCTTTACATTATTCTCAAAACAGATTCAAAGAATAATCAAATTTGTTTACATTTATTTAATACTCGTTCTTTGAATACCATAATACGTATATATCATTACCATACCATTATATACACTTCAGAGTTAAAATTATTTTAAAGTTGTTGTAAATAATCATTAAAGTATAATAAGTCAACAGTTTTAAAAAAGCATCTGGTCATATGATAATAATTGGAAAACTTTTTAACTATTATTGTAAAATTTAAATAAAAAATATTTTTGTTCTCAAATTGTATACTTGAAATTAAAACAAATACAGTCTGATTATTGTAATTCATCGAACCGAAAAATTTAAATATAATGCAATTAAATCCTTTGTGCCAAAGTGCAATAATAATACAGTAGAAAATATTAAACACAAAATAACATGTTTACAGAAAATAAAACACTTTAGCATTATATTTCGCAGTGACGTCGAACGTTATAATTATAAATATTGTAATCATAAGTTGATAATTACACTTCGAT